TTCCCCCCCCCCCCCCGCCCATTCTCTTTTTTCACCCTGGTTGATCATAGTAGGCATAATTCAAATAATCTATGTAGCTTCAACATCTTCGGGTCAACGCAATTTCAAAACAAAGAATAGCTTATTCCTCCGTCTCTCATATATATGGGTTTCTCATTATAGGAATTTGTTCTATATATAAGCGGGGACTGAATGCAGCTATTTTATGAATAATCTCTCATGGATTTATTGGCGCTGCACTTTTCTTTTTTTCTTAGCGGGAACAAGTTATGATAGAATACGTCTTGTTTATCTCGATGAAATGGGCGAAATGGCTATTCCAATTTCAAAAGGATTCACGACTTTGAGTATCTTATCGATGGGGCTTTCCTTGCATTGCCGGGTATGAGCAGTTTTGTTGCAGAATTCATAGTCTTGGAATAATTACCCGCCAAAAATCTCTTGTAATGAGAAAAATACTAATTACTTTGGTACATGGCAATTGGAATCATATTAACTCCCATTTATTTATTATCTATGTTACGCCAGAAGTTCTATGGATACAAGCTTTTTAATGTTCAAAATTCTTCTTGATTCGGGACAACGAGAGTTCTTTGTTGCGATCTCTATCCTTATACCTGTAATAGGTATTGGTATTTATCCAGATTTGGTTTTCTCACTATCTCAGTTGACAAATTAGTCTTTTTTCTTAATCTTCAGTGAAATAAAAAAATGAATTGGACTTCCATATACATTTGGATTTTGTGAGAAGCAAGTAATGTGGTGATTCAAAGGGTTCTCGATGTCTTACACACTGTTTTCTTATCTGGACTCTCCCGTCTTTGTCTTCGTCAGACCCTTTCTTTCATTCATTCAATTAGATGTTAATGTAAATGAACCATAAGTAGCCCTATCCCTAATAGATTGACCCCAAACAAAATAGCATATCCAGATTATAAGAAAACCCATAGAGCAATTATGGTCCAAGTAATAAATGCCCAAGTTTCTTTTGGATCCCAATTCCAATACGATCCCCATGTCTCATTAGCCCATACGGCCCCTAAAAGAATACCTATGCTTAAAAAGAGAAACCCTAGACTAAGTTCTCTTTCTTCATGTATTGGAATCAAAAGGAAATAACCCATTTAATAAATGATGATTGTTTTACCAATAATTCTTATAGATAGAGTTTGGAAATGTAATCACTCTTACTTGCATCATTAACCAATGAGATTGGAGAGCAGGAACTAATAGTGGGAATTAATGCATTTCAGTTAAAAAACCTGTGAAGTAGCAAACCCTCCGGGAAAAATAGTACTTGGTGCAGTTATTGCACTTAAATAGTTTAATAATGGAGAAACCCCAGGAAAGAAATAGTAATGTTTCATATAAATCACTTAATGGTAAATGCCTCAAATAAATCCAACGAGTAACTAAGAATCCTGTTATACAGAGAAAAAAGTAGCTATCATGCCCTTCCTTTTCTGACGAAGTATAGAGTCCTAGAGTTTCATCGACTAATAAGGTTATCAAATTCATTGTTTAATGATTCGTAATGAATTTAATACAAATTAATCTGATTTTACTGGATCTACTTGTAGACTGGCTTTTTGATTGATACCAAAATGAAATAGTATTTTTTTCGTCTAATTATTCCTTCTTGCTCTATAGCGGAAAATTAGTGTAATGTACATACTATCTAATAATAATAAAGAAAATTAGCAGTTTCTATATTGGATATTCTAATTTGTTATTAACTGATTAATAAGTGTCTACCCTGCTGGAATTTGCAAAGCTAGAGGTTCTTCTAGAACCCTTGCAAAACGTTCACAGAGAAAGCTAACTTAACGGATTGATTCGAACCAAGAGCTAGTTAGAAGATGAATGACTCTTAGATCGAACTTGGAATCTATGATGGTCACACTTGGATACCAAGACAATTCACTCTAGAATTAGCTTGATCAAAACTAATTCAATGAATCGCTTTAAACATCAAACCTAAAGCAAGGTTTGAAAAAGAAGAACACCAAAAAGGTATCAAGAAAGTTTTGTTTGTATTCAACAATTCATCTTAAAATTGAATATTACATGCCTTTAAATAGACCCACAAGATAACCCTAACATAATAAAGTTCAACCACCAACTACAAATCACTAATAAATGCTATTAAATACAAATCAAAGAAAATAAGGCATTCATAAATTGTCTTAATTGGTAATTCAATTACCAATGTCAAGTCTTCTAATCACTTTCCGATGTCAGCCACTCCATTATTTTCTTGATTTGATACTTGAATCTTCTTTGTATTACTTCTTGTAATTGCTTATTTGGGTACATGGAAGTGATTAGTTATTGGATTCATATCACTAATCCTTTTGAAAAGAGATAAGAGCTGGTGAATCATTAAAATTAATTAGGAATTCAATATCATGGATGATACCTTTCATCTCACTTCCAATTCCTATCTGACTTAATAGGAGTGAGACTTCTACTTTCTTTTTCCGACCGCAACCAAAACTCTTCGACGTATGTACTCTTTTCCGAGTATTTGATTGTGAAGTATAGTTATGTTTCAGTTTATCTATCTATTGACCAACTAAATAGTAGTTATATTTAATATATGGATGGTCTTGGACTATCAATAATGCTTTTTCTTTAGAGTGGGGCTACTTGATCGATCCACTTACTTGTATTATGTCCATATTAAGAACGATGGAATTATGGTTCTTATCTTATTTATAGTGACAATTATATGTCTCACGATCAAGGATATTTGAGAGCGTATATAAGTTTGTTCAATAAGTCAATGTTGGGATTAGTTACTAGTTCGAATTTGATCCGTCTTTCTCTTTTTTGGGAATTGGTTGGAATGTGGTCTTATCTATTAATAGGGTTTTGGTTCACCCCACCTACTGCTGCAAATGCTTGTCAAAAGGCATTTGTAACTAATTGCCTGGGGGATTTATTTGGGTTTATTTATTATTAGGGATTTGAGGTCTTTATTGGATAACAGGGTGTTTGCATTTGGGGATTGATTTATAATAATGAGGTGACTTTCTTATTTGTTACTTTGTGACCGTCTTTCCTATTAGTTGCAGGTGCAGTTGCTAAATCCGCTCAATTTCCTCTTCATCTATGGTTACCTGATGCTATGGAGGGCCCTACCCAGATTTCGGCTCTTATACATGTTGCTACGATGGTAGGGGAAGTTTTCTTGTAGCTCGGCTTCTTCCTTTATAGTAATACCTTACATCATGAATTTAATAGCTGGGGATAATAACAGTACTATTTGGAGCTACTTTAGCTCTTGCTCAAAAAGAGATTCAGAGAAGTTTAGCCAGCCTATTCTACAATGTCTCAATTTGGTTATATATATGTATGATTGATGTTTGTTAGCTACTTTGGGTATAGGGTCTTATCAAGCTGCTCTTTATTTCATTGGATTACTCATGCTTATTCTAAAGCTTTGTTGTTTTTAGGATCTGGGGCCATTCATTATTCACTCAATGGAATCGGTTGTTGGATATTCTCGAGATAAAAGTCAGAATATGGTTCTTATGGGGGTTAACCATGTGCCAATTACAACAAATGCTTTTTGATTAGGTACCCTTTCTCTCTCTTTGTGGTATTCCACCCCTTGCCTGCTTTTGGTCCAAAGATGAAATTCTTAATGATAGTTGGTTGTATTCACCGATTTTTCTCTCTCTTTGTGGTATTCCACCCCTTGCCTGCTTTTGGTCCAAAGATGAAATTCTTAATGATAGTTGGTTGTATTCACCGATTTTCGCAATAATAGCCTGTTCCAGAGCAGGATTAACACCAGTTTATATGTTTCCTATCTACTTACTGACTTTTGAGGGACATTTAAACATTTTAAAATCGTGGAAAAACAAAGAATTCCCTCTATTCAATATCATTATGGGGTAAAGAATGATAAAAAAGAATAAACAAACACTTTCCCTTCTTATCACTATTAACTAACAATGAATAATAACCAAAGGTCTTCTTCTTTGGGAAAAAAAACAGCATATCAAATGGACAGTAATCTAACAAAAATGATGCGTCCTTTTGTGAGAATTCCCTATTTTTGTACTCAGACTACTTTTGCGTATCCTTATGAAGTAGATAATACGATGCTATTTCCGATGTTTGTCTTATCCCTATTTACTTTCTTTGTTGGAGTCATAGGAATTCCGTTCACTCAATTCAATCAAGAAGCTATTGAGTTGAATATATTAGACAAATGGTTAACTCCGTCTATAAACTTGTTACATGAAAGTTCAACCGATTCTGAAAATTGGTATTGGTATGAATTTGTGAAAAATGCAACCTTTTCTCTCAGTATAGGTTATTCGAAATATTTATAGCGTTCTTTGCCTGCTTATTCATCTTTACTAAATTGGGTTAGGGTCATATGGTTTACATCGATGCTTTTTTATAGAATATCCTTAATTGGGGGCATAAGAGTATTAGCTGAATTCACTTCTTTTTTTTTATGGGGAATGGATGGAATTACCAATGCTAGGGGTATTCTGAATTTGTTTATCGCAGAAAGTATGAAAATAGTCACAAGAGGGGTTTCAAACCAGAAGATATTTTTTTTCGTCTGTATCTAAATCTAACAGCATTTTCTCATTTTCTCATTTTCTTTAGTTACATCCGAGCAGAGGTTAAGAAGTTTCATAAACAGGTCTTTTTCTCTTTTGTTTGATAACGTGTCCTTTTAAAGTAGAATTCCTCCTTTCTTTTTTTCTTTCCAGTCAATCTGTCTCATTCATCTTCCGTTTCATCGATTTTGTCCGAATCTTCATTTTCTTCCGAAACAAAGGGAAGGAGAAGTATCTTCTTCGGTAGATCCCTCTTGTTCCTGTTTAGTCCCCTTTGTTTCTTTCAGTTTCTTAGTCAGAATGGGTGAAGGTATTCCGCCTAAATAGTAGACACAAGTAATAAGAGAATACTAAAGATTCGAGCCATAGAATTTCTCAATTCTGACACAAGGTACTTATTAGATCTACATAAAATTCTTTTGATGTAGCCAGACTCATATCAATCCAACCCATTGAACGAAGAAAATGTGACTAATTAACCAACCAACAAAACTACTTCCTACAAAGATCATCTTGTTGTTGCATCGAAACATAGAAATCTTGACTAATCTGACCTGACACACATTGAACTTGGTAAAATGAAATGGTTGAATAATGATGAGATTATGAGGGAATACAAATTGAATGCTAAGATTACGCATTGAGTTTCTGGTAGTAGATCCATAATCGAAAAAGGATTTGTGAGATTGTTACAGAAGAAATGAAACAAAAGACACGGTAGAGCTAGGACAGTTATTGTATGAGGTTTATCCAATGCTAGATGCAGAAAGACAGAGGCGCATAATAGATCGATATGAACTGAGCTGTCCCATAATCAAACCTATTGTTACTGATACTTTCTTCTCGGTTCCTTCTTCCATAACCCGAGCTCGGAGAAGGAAGAGATAAGAGTGCCCTATGGAGAATGTGGTTAGAAATCCATAATAGAGTCCAACCACAACCGACCGAATTGATTATCTTCATGCATAAGGATACTTAATAGATTACCTAGTAGAAAAGATTTGCAAATCATCACAAACCTCCTTCTTTGCAATTTCTGTGGATATATATATTGCACTTTCAATATAGAAAGAGATAGACTAGAAACGACATCTCTTATCTCAATGACACCAAAAAGATATTAAATGAATGGAATTAATTGGTATATGGATGGAATATAATGACATAGAACCACTTTGAGGTTCTCTATGAAATGAGGCATGGAACGGAGCCACTAAGAAGAAGTTCCGGGAGTGACGAAGGAAACCTCGGACTCATATTGGTCATGGGTTGAGAACGGGAATGGAATTCTCTGAAACCTAATTTGCCCTTGTTCCTCAGTAGCTCAGTGGTAGAGCGGTCGGCTGTTAACCGATTGGTCGTAGGTTCTGACCGTTAAGAGTAGGTAAGCCATTCCATTCCCTCTCCCTCTCTCTTTGTTTCTATTGCATTCTATCTCATCGTATCAAATTTTGTTCTGTTATATTTGAGAATCACCGGCAATACCTCGGTGTAGGTTCGAGATAATCCTTTGTTACACAGTCTTGGTCTATTTACAACTAGCCAATTAAGTTCAGAATTCTAATACTTAAACTACTATTACATTGGTGTAGGTTCGGGATAATCCTTTGTTACACAGTCTGGGTCTATTTACAACTAGCCAATTAAGTTCAGAATTCTAATACTCAAACTACTGTTACATCTTTGATGCTGATTCGAAGAGGGTATACTATATTGGATTTATAACGGAACCCCCTTAACCCATTAACGAAAAAGAAAAAGATAAGGCCATTTCATTCCGACAAAAGACCCACCACACCCAAGTTCCATAGCTTTGGGTCTACTATCCCGATCATGATTTTCCTACCCCCAGAGGGAAAAGTCCTTCCCTTTTTGGCCGGTTGTGGGCGAGGAGGGATTCGAACCCCCGACACCCTAGTTGTGCTCTACTCCTCTGAGCTACAAGCCCCACCCCGTCTCCACTGGATCTGTTCCTAGGGGTACCCTAAAAAAAGGAACCTTTCCTCTCCCCAGCCATTTTCCATTTCGGGTTAAGAAGATAGATGTGAAAGCGCCTCTATAAGAACGGTGTGTTCCAAGGTGTGAAGTGAGAGAGCAAGGGGTTTTGAATAAGACGACCTTTTCATTTTAGTGTTTTTCCATATTGTTGAATATTGAAAAGTAATAAGAATTATAGAGGGGTTAACCCATTAAGAAACCGCGCTATGAGAGCCTCCATGTCCTCATCGAGTTCAAGTCGATCCATCAATGTATCCATCTCCTTGTAATAATCCTCCACAGATTTGCGTCCTTGCTTCAATGCTTGAAGCTTTTGCCCCATGTCCCGTTGAAAATATTGTGGAACAAAACGCTTCCTCGTGGACTCTTTGAACTCGACCCATGAATCAATTGGTGCTTCAAGATTTCTTCTCCTACTTGACATCAATTTATCCCACCAAATTTGAGCATATTGTTTGAATTGAGCAATGCATAACAGTACCTTCTTTTCATCACTAAAATTATGACAGTTGAACACCGACTCCACCGTTTTCTCCCATTAAAGGTACTCCTCTGGATCGGTTTTGCCATAAAACTTGGGAAGCTTTAATTTGATGCTCCCCACGTTACGATCAATTCTATCATCATAAGGAACTCGTTGTTGTAAATTATGACACCTTCTTCCATGGTCTCTCCCTCACATCAAGCCATGACCAACCACATGTGGATTATCCTCGTGGTGATCAGAATTGTCGCCCTCATATGTATCGGTTGAGGGCGTAGGTAGTGGAATCCTCTGTCGAGCTTGATTTTTAATCTCCAATCTTCCTATTCGATCAATCAACTCTTCTATTCCTCGAATTAGTCTTTCCATGGTTCGTTGTTGTGCTTCTCTCAATCATGCATCACTAATGTCAGTATTGTTGTCTTGATTTTCCATGCTACAAAAGAAAGGTAAAAGAAAAAAAAGGACCTCACAAGCACTCCCTCACATGTATTGATATGAACCAAGAGACATCAATCATACAATATACTTCAATGAAGATGTGAAGAAAATGTTGTCAAAATTATCAAAAGAGGTTGCAATTCATGCCACATTGAAGAGGAATGAAGTTTGATGGTTGTAAATTTTGGGTGGGTTACAATTTAGAGTAATTTAAAGTTATTGTATTTTAAGACTTTTTTAGGTTACATTTACATAATGGCTAATTATGGCCATAAAGTATGAATGTTACAACTCTTGGAATGTCTTTAATAGTTTCATTTTGAGGCTATATAAAGCCATGTATGTTGTATTTGTAAATAGACTTGGAAAATATAGTAAAATAAGCATTTGTTCTCTTCTTTAGCCAATGGCTAAATTTCTTTGCAATTCTATGTAGTTTAGGTTGCATGTAGAATCATTCAAGCTCGACATGATCAATCTTGCTTGTGGAATGATTTGAATCTCAAGCAAGTGTTCTTGCCTTGAGATATTTGATCAACAAGAATCATTCAAGCTAGACATGATCAATCTTGCTTGTGGACTGATTCGAATCTCAAACAATGTTCTTGCCTTGAGATATTCGATCAACAAGGTAATCCGAATCTTACTCCCCTTGTAGTGATTCCTGATTTCCATATCATGTATTCACTCGTAAATGTAGTTCACTTGTGTTTAGCACTCAACACTCGAATCAATGTGTCACTCCCTTACAAACTCACCCTCACAATTGAGCACACACAAATCATACTCTAAAAAACAAATTGGGATGTGAGACAAGCTATGTTATAGAGCTAAGTGCAATTCAAAGTGAATAGACATCACACTCAACACATAAACAAGGGTATTGAAGGAGCAATCCGAATAACGACAAGGAAACGAATTAAAGAAATTAAATGATTAAGGACTAATTTAGACGTAGTAACATATGAGAGTTACATATAATAATCAAGAGGAACAAAGAAAGACATTTAACATCAATAAGCTTTCTTTCTTTCAATGGTTTTTTTCTTCTTCTTCTGATTGGCAAAATCTAATAAATTTACCAACAAGAAAATTGATTTAGAAGATCTTAAAGAAGAACAAAGTGTTGATAAGATCCATATCTAACACTTTAAAGAACATAAGATTTTTTTTTTTTTTTTGTTATATATTTTTGTGATAGAACATGAACATTCTACACAAACTGAGAAAAAAAAATATAAGAGAATTAAAAGAGATAAGCGCAATGAAACATATATCCGATCTTGAGCTTGAAGCTCTGATACCAAAATGATATGGAAATCAACCCAAGGGAAAGTATGGAACGGATTACCTTGATGATCAAGATCAAAAGTAAAGAAAACTCATTTCTAAACTCGTGATTCGAATCACTCCACAAGAGGTTTGATCAATACCACTTGAATGACTCTACATGCAAGTTCTAAACACAAGAATTTGTAAAGAAAGTTTAGCCCTCAACAAAACTAAAATAGAAATTCTATTCTTAATTCCAAAATCTGATGTCTAATCAAAGAAAAGAAGGCTTTATATAGCCCTTACAACCTTAACCTATGTGATACATAACTCTCAAATTAAATGTGCTAGTAAATGAAAAATACTCATAACCTCCATATTAAAATGGCTAGTTAATGGTGGAATATAGTAACCTATGTGGGTTACAATATAACCTTAACTTCTATATTTAAAACTAGCTTAAATATGACAAACAAATAGTTAAACTATAATTAAATAATGCAATTAATAAAATGTGCTTATTAGTCATCCTTGGATTAGTTTCATAAATTCAGCGGAGTTCATTAAATGCAACTTAAAGTGCATTTAATTCATTTCTTTCTTGAACCTCAACTTTGCACAATGTATTAGGGAGGTCTCCAGCGTCTTCTAGAATTTCCTTTGATGAGCTCACCATAGCTTGAATATAACTGTATAAGGTTTGTTGTAGCTTCTTGGCTCTCGTCCTTGTAATTGGACCTTGAGGTATGAAAATTCCTTGGTCGTGGTTCATATCATAGGGATTGTTGGCTTGGAACTCGAGCAGTCTCCCCTCATACACAGAGAAGGCTTCTAGCTTCTCTACCTGAAGGAGCTTTTAGCAGTGAGTCAAAAGTCTTATTGAGAAGCCCTCTCCTATCTAGGACTATTTCCACTCTTCTCTGAGTGCCAAAAAAAACTATGCTAAGGTAGCACTCACAGCGAGAGCCCAGCTGACTATTATTCCTACCCTAATGTGTCAAGAAGAGATTAGGTAGTACAGGTCAGCAAGCAAGCATGGCTATATCTAAGGTATCTAGATCAAAAGGTATATCCTACCCTACCCCACCAACCCTTCTTGTTCTTGGTTCTTTTGTGCTATCTTTCTATCCAGTTTCCAGCGTTAATGTAGAAGTAGATGGTGTAGAAAGAAGGATTATCAGATTTGATGAAGTGATTTAGCTTGAATCAATCTTTCCTCATTTTCAAGCCCTCTCTCTGCCGAGCCTCTTGGAGTGCTTGTTGTGATAAGGCAACTGATAAGGAGACCCTAATCCTCAGCCCAACGATCCAAGCTTTTGTTGAAGCAAGAACCTTTGGATCAAAGTAATTAACACATCCTTATACGAAATTTGGATCAACCAAGAGATAAGGCTAGAATTAGATTACATCGTATGATCGAAGTTCTAAAAGCAAGATTTGGAAACCTTGTTCTAAATTGAGACACTCCACAATCGAACTTGATCAAGAATTACTTGAAACTTAGAAATGACAAATATGATGTCTAAATTTGAAACTTAGAAACGTCTCAATTTGAGATCTGAATTACATTCATCCATCAATCTAAATTTTACATAACATATTGTGGGTATTTATAGTCTCCCGACAAAAGACGTTTGTGGATGAGATTTATTTGAGATGTTTGTTGAAGGGATTTATTCCCGATCCCCACATAATTTATGAAATTAAACATAGTTTTTTCTAACAAATGTTGATGTGCTTGAGTGGCTAATGCGACAAGTTTCAAATCAATTGAGCTCTCTACGCGTAGGTTTGAATTCTGTTGTTGACATATTTTTTTGAATCTTCATGACATTTTTTTTTAATCTTCTTGGCAATAGGTCTATTTGGAACACCGTGATTCTTAT